AAGCCTCTTAGCGCTTCGAAATGTTATAAGAAATGTTACAATATGATGATGTTATAAGTTACGAATGGAAAGTCTTATTGGGTAATTGATGTAAAAAAACGTTATTCAATGTAGGTTTTGGAAATGTTTGGTATGAACAATTTGTATAATCTGAAAGTGTATTTACCAGTTCTCTTCTACAGAGGCTAAAAGATATTTATCTGCAATTTCATTTTCATTGACATTATCAAATAAATGTTTAATTTTTTAACTTATCCTGCATTACTCCATATTGCTTGCACTGCTGTCTTTTGACAGAGAGACGAACTGTGTGAGATCCAGCTGCTGATGAAAAGTTGCTCCAATAGGCAGCACCCCTTGCACAGTCGGCACGTGACCAGGAAGTCATGACGTCACATCAAAACACATAACTGCTTTGTCACCTCCACAGACGGACGTACTTTGTATCCCTTGTGGAAATTAAAGCTTATTGTTTCTATATTTTGCGTGTTTCTACATTCATCGTATGCTGCTACTTTGTTACCTGTTTATGGACTGTTACATTTAGGGTCTTCCATTCGTAAATTGTAACATTTATCGCTCGTTTGTGGCTCTAGTCACAGTAATTTATGGGCGCAATGTTGTTCCCACCAATTTGTTTCTTTCCCGCCATTTTTGCCATTCACCACATGGCCATGTAATATCGTGTTCTGCATTTTGAATTCTTTCTTTGGCTTGGGTAATACATTAAATTTATGTATTTTGTTATGGCCTGCTTAAAGCTTTGCCTTTTTGCTACCTTTTAGCATAATTGTTTGCTCTCATAAACTTAATTAAAATACAAAGTTTTTTAGTTAATTAATGTTTCCCGTACTTTGTGGTTTTGCCACATGGTTATGTTTTTTGCTTAAAGCCTTGCCTTTTTGCTACCTTCATCGTAATTGTTTGCTCTCATAAACTTCAACAAAATACAAAGTTTTTTAGTTACATTATCCTTCCCATACTTTGTGGTTTTGCCACATGGTTATGTTTCATGCTTAAAGCTTTGCCTTTTCACTACCTTTTAGCATAATTGTTTTCTCTCATAAACTTAATTAAAATACAATGTTTTTGAGTTACATTATGCTTCCCGTACTTTGTGGTTTTGTCACAGGGTTATGTTTTTGCTTGAATTCCAGATTTTCTGCCTCGCTGCACTTGTTGCCACGGGAACAAATCTGGCCGCCCCTTTTGCCGTGATTGTACGATGCCCTGTACAGTGCCGATGTTGCAGTCCTTCATCGCTGTGTTTCTTCAACTCGATACGAGAATCCAGGACACAGTATCTTACTCAATGTGCTCTTTGATCCCCTGATATGGCTTACAACTCGGAGACTGCGGTCTTCCTACACCACCTTCCGGTGACGCCCGTAACAGGACCGGTCTTTCGTCTCCTCAACCATCTACGTTGACAGCAGGGGCGGCATCGGCACTCCCAGCGCCACTAGCGCTCCAAAAAAGCAACACCACCAGCGCCTCCTGGCACCTGAGTATCTCAGCTGAGCTTCCTGGCGCTCCCAACACCACCGGCACTCCCGCAAAGCAACACCACCGGTGCCTGAGTATCTCAGCTGAGCTTCCTGGCGTTTCTGGCAATTTTGACGCGCCCGGCACCTGAGTCAAGCTTCCCGGCACTCCCAGCTCCTGAGTATCTCAACCTATCTTCTACTTCGACAAAAGGGGCGCCATCGGCAATTGCCTCTCCGGCGCCACTGGCATCACCTTTTATTACTGACATCTTATAGATTGCGCATGGAGAGGCAAGGTGAAATTGTCGCTGCTCATCCGTACATCGTCGGGATCGTGACTATCGCTCAACTTCCTGGGAGAAATCTGTTCAACCAGTTGACATCTGGTCTGATTCAACTTGCCCAATGGTTTTCTAGACGACGTTTTGTTTTGCGACATTCAGGTTTCCATCGGAACAGAGCTTCTGATGGACAGCGTCTGTATTAGAACTGGCAGATCTTCACTGTTCAGGCTTATTAAGACTGTTTGACCCCCTTCATCATAGGCTACCGGCTACCCACTTCTTGTGATCATCGTTGATTGGTCTTGCATATCACGGTGTACATATCGCTTTGCACCGGCCCCGCCATCCGACGACAACATCCACTGTCATCTTTGTTGACATTGTCAGCAACAACGCTCCTCTACCCTGCCTTAGCCCCAGCGTTCCTCAAAGAGGCTCTTCCTCGGCACTCCCCGGGTTTTCCATGGTGCACCCTGTGCTCCCACGTTTTTTCGCAATACTCGGGTACACCACTTGTATGTCCACCAAACATTTCATAGAGGATTGTCTGTGCGTGGAGATTGCCCAATGGCAAGCAGTGTAACTCTACATATAGGTTTGCATACTTGCATGTCTGCATGGTGCAACCATTCAATCAGACGCCTGTTGCAGTCCATCCATGTACAGATGATGGAAACGATAGACCTCCGCTGCCAACACAGCAATCCACGAGGCACCACATTTCATCGCCCCCTCGCTATAAGAACGATATCGCTTTTACAGCGTTCAAGGGATGGAAAAGATTGCCTTCCTTCGTAAGGGAATCTTGGTCTTTTGATCTTTCAGACTACGACACCTTTATATTTTCAGCCTTGGCTACCAGATACAGCGTTGATTTTCTAATTCATCCCACGACCGTTCCATTGACCCATGTTGACTACATGCCTACATATTGTCGTTCTTCATCATCACTTCAATATACGAACAGGAGCACTTATAAGACACTCAGGGTATGGAAACCATCACATTACTTTGTGTAGTACGGTGCGATCTACGGTGTGAGTTTTGCAGATTTCCTCATTCTCTTCTGGACACCTTGCCTCAACTTCTGACTACCCGGTTACGTCTATGCCTCGGTGGTCGATTGTAGAGCTGGTTTATTTCGTCTACATGGAGTTTTGTTTGCAGATGAGCACACCTCTCCACACATCGCCCTGACTTTTCAACTTTGCAGTCTTGTAGACGACCTCATATACCATGACTTCACGCACTTCCACTGAAGCTTCCACCTTGTCAGTGGCTAGTGTTCTGGGATTGCCAACACCATGTTGTGACAGACTGATCTGGAGATCAACACCATGGGCACAGTAACAGCCTCGAGATAAAAGCCCTCATCATTGATGTCACTTGCTCACAGAGAATTCTCGGTCACGCCCTGCTGATCATGTCCAAGACAACATCACCATGGTGTGGTGTTTGGGATGGGTACTCTCGACTCTCCATCCCTGCTAAACCAGACCTTCCACTTCCCCAACTTGGTGGTCAGCTTGGACCTGTACTTTCTCGTCTTACACTCACCAGGTTGAGAGGATGTTCTGGCACAGTCTTTGTCCAGGCCGTACTAGGTGGCTTCCACCCAGAGGTCTTCGCCAGACTAAGTCAAACGATCCACACCCCAAACAACAATCTGTTCGCCACACCTCAGAACTGCCAGCTGTCGCCTTACATTTCACTGGTGCTGGATCCTGCCGCTGTGGCACTCTACACCTTCAGTTTCTTGGGAAGGATTCTCCTTCCCACGGTCCTTCAAAGATCCAGGCAACTCCGCACCTGACACTGAATTTGGTCGTGCCTTGGTGGCCGGCCAGAAGTTGGTTTGTCGACCTCCGAAAAATCGGCAGAGACAACCCCCTGGAACTTCCGGTGTGGTCCAACCTTCTGCTCCACCCACATCTGGCACATCTGCAGAAAGATCCATGAGCCAAGGACTATTCGGCTAGAACGGCCAGGGCTATTGCTTCAGCCCACCGCCCATTTACAAGGTGACTGTATGATGAAAAATGGTGCTCATTCAGGGCATTCTGTTGAGACAAACACCAGGATCCGTTGACAGCATCACCGTAGTTCCTGGTTGAGTTCCTTCTGTACTTGCGCAGCACCCGTCGGTTGAAAGGCTCTCCAATCTCCACATACCTGTTTACAATAACTCTGTTCTTGCCAACCCGGACGATCGTCTTGAAGACCAGAGACCCAAGTTCAGACTGCCTGTGTTGGACCTGAATGTGGTCTTAAACGCTCTTCCGACAGCTCCTTCGGAACCACTCAACTCGTCTTCCTTCTACAACCTATGGAAGAAGATGGTGTTTTTACTGGTTTTGGCGACTGCCACTCGGGTCAGTGAGCTCCATGCCCTCGACGTCTCCTGTGTCTGGTTCAAACGCGGTACTCACGGCGCCGTTCATCATGGGCCGTGCTGGGACTTCATCGTAAGGAATCAACTCCCAGGACAGCCTGATAGATCATTCATTATCTCCTCCCTCCTCGTCCATTGTGGGTACCAAGGATGAGGAGGAGCGTTTATTATGCATAGTAGAGGCACTGAAGGTTGCCTAAGACGCACTAAAGCCTGTCGCAAGTCTAGGAAACGCCTTTTTCATCACATCTGAAGGTATGCCCACTTGCCATGCCATCTAATAAAGATACAATCCGGAGTAATGCAGGATAAGTTAAAAAAATTAGTAAAATCTAAATATTTTTTACATTTGTATGCTTATCCTGCATAAGTGCCCTCCCTTCACTACAATTCCTCCCAACGAAGTTTCAGATGTTATGTTTAAAGCAGCTATGTGTTTTGATGTGACGTCATGACTTCCTGGTCACGTGCCGACTGTGTGAGGGGTGCTGCCTTCTACCGGTTGGAGCAACTTTTCATCAGCAGCTGGATCTCACACAGTTCATCTCTCTGTCAAAGGGGGGCGGTCGGGTAGCCAAGTGGTTAAAGCGTTCACTCGTCACGCTGAAGACCCGGGTTCGATTCCCAACATGGGTACAATGTGTGAAGCCCATTTCTGGTGTCCCCCGCCGTGATATTGCTGGAATATTGCTAAGAGCGGCGTAAAACCATACTCACTCACTCACTCACTCTGTCAAAGGACAGCAGTGAATGCAATACGGAATAATGCAGGATAAGTATACAAATATGTAAAAATTATTTAGATTTTACTAATATTATAGAATGTTGAAAACTCATATATACAGTTAACAGTATCTGTATTATGTAAATATAAAGAAATACCATAATTCATTGGCAAGATTTTTTATGTTCTTCTCATGATATATGCATCGAAAGGGGGAGATTTTCAAAAACTCCAAGGTCAGAATGACTATGTAAAATGTGTAATATCCAAGATATAGAGGATGAATATCACTTTATACTTGTATGTCCATTGTACTCCTCTGTGAGAAAAAAATATATTCCTGGGTACCGTTTCACAAAGCAGTCGTAAGTCTTACGTGCGTGTAAAACTGGCGTAACCCGGAAATACTGAACTAGGGGCGTTTCACAAAGCTAGTGTAATATTACGTCCGTGTATAATTGGCGTAAACTCTACGTGTGGTCTTGGGGTGGTGTAAATATTTACGCAAGCGATAAAGATGGCGATCAATCTAAACACGGCCGAGATTGCCAAAAAAGTATGTAAGCGAGAATGTGTTTTCCGCGACAGGTCGAACCCCCTCGATGATTTGGATGATCATGACATCATCGAGAGGTACCGCCTATCACGACACATGATATTTTCTATCATTGGTAAAGTGAGTGACAGACTTGAACATCAAACCCAGCGTTCCCATGCAATACCACCTTACCTTAATGTTTTAATTGCTCTGAGATACTTCTCCAAGGGTGGGTTTTACAGTGAGATTGCCGATATCCACGATGTGAGTAAATCCTCCATCTGCAGAGCAATCCGCGCAACAACAGACGCATTATGTGCAACCATGGGTGATTTTGTATTTCCCACAATGCCTTCCACTCAGAAGAGTAACAAAGAATCATTCTTCGACATTGCTGGATTCCCTAAAGTACTCGGTGCAATTGACTGCACACTCGTACCCATAATGGCGCCAAAACGTGACGAAGTAGCCTACGTTTGTCAAAAGGGTTACCATGCACTGAACATACAGGCAGTATGTGATGCCAACATGAGGTGAGATACATACACACATGGTAGATGTGTCTTTTATCATGAATCAATTATTCCTATTCCTATTGAACAAGGCACGACAAAATGTAAACATTACAACATGAAATAGATGTCCTTGACATTGACGCATGCTGCGCCCCCTAGGTAACGTTTTGGGCGAGATAAGTCATGATGCATACCAGTAAAAATGAATCCATTGTGATAATGTTTTCAAATTTCCATTGTTTCCATGTAGTGTAACTGTTCCATAATTAAAATGTGAATTAATAGTGTTTATTTGTAGGCAGATGTAGATCTCTAAATGAGCTTTATAAAATTATGCATGTGCATTTTAAATACTGGATTTCTGTTGGATTTATATGGATATAAATTGTTCTATTTTTCTCTCAGATTTACAAACTGTGTGTTCAAGTGGCCTGGCTCTGTCCATGACAGTTATATATGGAATAACTCTGCCCTTGGTCAGTACTTTGAAAAGAAGAATATTGATGGATGGCTACTTGGAGACTCTGGGTAAATAAAACTACAACATATATACCTGAACTTCACTTACATTTGGTAAATACAGTTGAATTTTACAATGTGTGATAAACAAATCTGACAAAACTGCACTTAGTAAAATATTGATAATATTTTGATGACCTGTCTGGATATAGTGTTTTCCTTATTACTTATGTTACAGATATGCCTGCAGACCATGGCTGCTGACCCCTGTGCTCAATCCCAGCTCAGAAGGACAGGAGAAATACAATAGATGCCATATCAAGACACGGAACACAATAGAGAGAGCATTTGGCTTGTGCAAGTCAAGATTTAGGTACGGTTTTAAGTGGCAAAAGTAAGTTGGTAATGTAACCAAGAAATTATTGTAAGTGAAATAATTAAATATTGAAGGTAGAGTTACAAGAGGAAAACATGTAATAGTATCTATTCATTGTATCATTGTTGAAAACTTGGGGAAAAAAATGAAGTTACTTCTTATCTCAAATTGAGCTTTTTTAAGTTGTTGTAGTATTCCGAAAGAATTGTTAAAAAATATTATCAACTTAATTTTGAACAAACTGATAGCCTGTCTAACAGGCGTCTGTGAAGAAGTTGGGAAAATAACTTATAATACAGAAAATGTGTTTCATCACATTTCCAGATGCCTTCACAAGACAACTGGTGTCTTACAATTAACCCCAGAAAGGAGTTTGTGTGTTGTCCGGGCTTGCTTCTTGTTGCATAACATGTGCATCCATGAAAGAATACCACTTCCCCAGGGCATTGAGCTACTCAGAGGAGAGGGAACTGCCACAGAGTTGCCATGTGCAGCTGACTTCCCAACAACAAGCTCTGGTTGTGATGGACTGTCAGCAAGATATCAATTAATTTTGCATAAGTTCACTTAAATTACAGCCTTATGCTATTGTTTTCATCATTTATAAAAAGCACAAGAATATAAATCATGAGATGTAAGTGACTTTCTACTCTGTATTACTAGACAGTCATAACTTAAGATAATTACATATTATACAAAAATATAAAATACACAGCTTTTGTCATGATCAATGCCAGTAGAAATAAAGTCAATTTAAGCTTTTTATAAGTCTTTTATATCATTATATATAACACAAATAACTAAGAGAGGTAACATTTGTTTGTCTAGGTATCATATCACAATTTCTGGCCCAATCCATATGTTCATACATAATCCATGTGTCATGCATTTGGGCAATTAGACTATTACATATGATCTGACATATTCTTCCTGTTGTGTTTCATACCTTCTGTTCAACAGTAGTAAGTTGTGTAGGAGGGCCACCTCAACCAGTTCTCACAATCTCCTTCCTCCTTGTCACCTCCTTCTTCTTGGCTGCAGCCCTGAGGTCCTGCCATTTCTTTTTCAGCTGAGGCACAGTCCTTACCTCCGTGTTATTGGCGTTGATCCTGTTAACAAAAATTATTTCAAAATTATATAATATGTTTTGCTCGATGTCACCCATGTTTGACAATTGCCTTGTTGTTGTCTACCATTAAAAATGAAGATGTTTAAAAATAAGTGATTCTGGCATTTTTTGTTCCTAATCACTGAGCCGGACATTTAGGAAATTTATGTTTAGTCTATTCATAATGTGAGAATAGTGATACTTCCGCGACCTCTTATATGTGTGCACTTATGCATATTTCAGATCTGTATCCCTAGCAATAACAATGATTCCCACCTTTTCAAATATTGCACTATCAAAGAAATATAGGCCTCTTGCAAGTTCAAGTAGATCTAGTCACCTTTTATCGCTATTTGTTTACTTCTGCGTAACAACAAGCGTGATAACTCTAAATGGCATAGCTCTATCACTTCCAAATAAAACACATTCTTCATATGACAGATGTGGGTTCAATGCCGTGAAATGCACTCACTTTGTCAGAATATCCTCCCATATCTTCTTCTTCCGATTGTTGGTGATGCAAGAAGAAAACGATGAAAACAACACATCTGAATTGCTGCCAACTTCTTCAGTAAGAATTTTGACTTCTGTGGCCGAAAAGTTTCTCTTCCTCGATTTCTTGTCGCAAATGTCCTCCATTTTACTGCGCTTCGTCGTCTGCTCAGAGCACCTGCCACGGTAGACAACTCTAGTGCGGATTTTCCTACCTCACAAAGGGAAAGAGCTCCAATCGTATTTTTTACGTGTGTGTAAGTTGGCCGAGGTTACGCCAGTTTTAGTGCAGCTTTGTGAAACAGTCTTAGACTATGGCATAGACATTGCGCAAATATGGCGTGAAATCTACGAGCGTGTAAATTTACGACTGCATTGTGAAACGGTACCCTGTACATGTATACTACTTTAATGATCCAAATATTGTGAAATTCCGACAATTGTTAAATGGTCAAGATAGATTAATAATACAAAACTTAGCCATGTACATATACCATGCGCTGTTATATAGAACCAAATTTGTAAATAATATTTAAAGGGTGTGCAACATGCACCTCTGTCATCTGTGGCCTCTCAGGTGCTTGAATAAAGATTGATTGATATTAATATTGTGTTTCAGATTGGTTCAGACTGTGATGATATGTCTAGCTCTGATGACCATTTTGAACAATCTTCAGCAAACGTATCTGAATTTGTGAAAAAGGAATATGACCATTTTCAACATCACTTACATTTTGGTATGAAAGGGGCACTACCATCTCCGATAAGGCAAGCATGTTCAAAACCTCCAATGTTGCCTAAACAGAAATCAAAGTCGATTAACCTTATGTGCCAGGACCATGCCAACAATGAACAAACTAGTTTAAACAAAGTGCAAAAGACACAGTTTGAATCCTGTGTAACTCATTCTGATGAAAGCATACCTCAAGAGCAACCGGAGGAACGAGTTATAAAGATGTTTTCACCAGTGCCACCAAACATGGGAGGGAATTTGAAAACACTGAAGCCTGTAATAGCCAAACTTCACCCTCAGTTGCCAATCAATTCAACAATATTTGAAGGAGGAGAGAAAGATGATATTACCAGCAAACAAACTCATGTTTCATCTACTGCAACTGGATTGAAGTACACATTGGATGGCCACTGTTTTGTCACTGGTGGAATTAAGAAGCCAAACAAAGAATCAGTTCATAAACAATCTGCAGCATCAAAGTTTGGAAAGAAACCATCAGCCACTGGAGCCCTAAAACCTCAAGTAAGACCAAAGCCTAAAGATTTTGCTCATCTGTCAGTTCACAGCCGGGTACTGCAATCAGCAGGAGTTGTGAGGTCATATGAAAGCAGAACTAAAGAAGTGAAAGAGATAAGACAACCTGATTTGAGAGGTGTACACAACAGTTACAAGGTCAGTAGCCTTATCAATGCACTTGATGGCCAGCTGGTGTTGGGAGGGGCATCTGATATTCCAAGACAAGGGATTCCAACTGAGAACAAAGCATCAAACGTCAAAGATGGCAGTGGTTCAGCATCCTATCCCTTACCTACAGCATTAGATCATATTGATCCCAGTGCTCTCTCAAAATCTACCAAAACTGTCTTCAAGACAGTTAGTATATTTACAGCTGAGAATGAAGGAGAAATTGGTTTTGATGAAGATGAAGTTGTGGATGTTGTTGAAAAAAGTGATGAGGGATGGTGGCTGATAAGAATTTCTGGACGTGGTGAGGGTTGGGCTCCAGCTGAGTTTATTAAAGAACATCAGGTGTCAACTCCAAGGCTCAGACCAACACTTCCACCTAGACACAAGGCTGTACTGCAATCAAAGCCATGTTGAGAATATGTTACATTTCCAAATAACTTGTTTGTTTGTTGTTTAACACTTCACTCAGTATATTCCAGCTATATGACGGTGGTCTGTAAATAATCTAGGCTGGACCAGCCAACTCAGTGATTGACATCATGAGCATTAATCCACGCAGTTGGGATAAGATGACATGCATCATCCAAGCCTGACAGCCCGATCCCATGAGTCGCCTCTTACGGCAAGCATGGGTTGCTGAAGATCTTCACGGGTCCCAAATAACTTGTGCTAAGGTAACTCAGATTGTTCCTATATTTTCCTGATTATTTTCCATTTCTTTTAATGTTTTTATGTTTCCATGGAAACAATTTCGAGTTAGGGGTTGTTTCCGGGCCATAATTTACAAAACCTCAGCATAGTCCAGTGAAACATGGCATATGCATTGCTCATCAGCTTAACTTGTGCCTTTTGCTATTTTGAATTTTTTCTGAACTATTCGTTACATTTCCATGGAAACAATTTTGACATTGTCTCAAATGAGAGTACTGTTGTTTCTGAGCCACAACTCTCAACATATATAATTCTTGTGAATACCTTACCTCTATTACATCATTGCCATAAATTCCTGTTTATGCTGAGAACCACACTATTAATTTTGTATAAATTTTCAACAGATGTCCTCTTCACTGCCAACATATCTAATAGTTGTGAGGGAATCCCTATACTTCGCCAGGGGCGCCACTGCGCATGCGCAAGGCAAGAATATTCTCACTTCTTTCCTGTGTGTCCAGATGACAACAAGGAAAATTTTTGTTGCATACATCTGTACACGTGATTGCTGTTCCACACTTACAAGCACATTAGATCTTCTCAAGCTTCACTAAAGACAAGCAGTGAGCAGTTCTACAAGCAGAGAACAGGGGTATAAGAAGGCTGAAAGATCTAGTAAGTAATTAGTTAGAGAACGTGTTGTGGGATGAGACCTTCATCTCAAAAACAGATACCCGTCTGTTCAGGCTGTGGGCAACATCAAATCCCTGGTGACCCTCACCCTAGATGCCTATCATGCAAGAAAAGCAATCGCACGCAAAAATCAAGATGCAGTTATTGCGAACCTTTGTCGAAGGAGAAGTTTGAAAAACTTTCCAAGGCATGGCTCAACGATCCTGATTACAAAAAGAATACTAGAGCATCAGCTAAATATTCTTCTGCTTCATGTAAAAAAGTGATTAAGACCGCAGTGACTACTAAAGATAATCACGTGGGTAACAAGCGAGTGTCGCTTGGGGACGCCGTCTCGCCTTGTCAGGTGAGTGAGTGAGTGAGTGAGTGAGTATGGTTTTACGCCGCTTTTAGCAATATTCCAGCAATATCACGGCGGGGGACACCAGAAATGGGCTTCACACATTGTGCCCATGTCGGGAATCGAACCCGGGTCTTCGGCGTGACGAGCGAACACTTTAACCACTAGGCTACCCGACCGCCCCCCTTGTCAGGAGAAGAGATCTCGTCGCTCATCCCACTCTCCCAATATAGTTAAGGAGCCGATGTACCTTTTAGACTTTAATGTAGTCTGTCACATACATCCGGTAGCCGATGGTAAGGTGGATAATCTAGGCTTGGAAGAAGCAACTGATCTCCACTCTATGCCACGCTCCCCCTTTAACTTAAATGAGTTCACGGAGAAAATAACAAATTCAATGTCTGTTATGATTGACAAACGTATGCAATCAATGTCTCAGGAAATCTCATATCTAAAAGAATCCGTTGCACAACCCCGGCATGGCCAATCAGGGATTGATCACGAGATTCAAAAGAGATCTAAGGCTGAATATGGCAGAACACCCTCATACAGCAGACATGCACAAGGTCACACTGAATCAGATTACTATGAGGACAGCAGGAGAGTTATAAAAAGATCACGCACACCATAGGGCAGATCATGAATCACGGGCATCGCATCGCAGTATGCACAGAAATACACACCAGTCACCCTCTAGCTACTATGATAGACGAACTGACAAAGCTCGCGCAAATCAGGATAGAATTCCTAAGCGTGCGCCATCTCATACTGCCACACAGTCCAGTTATACGGGCGGAGAAAGTGAGGGAGATGTTACGTCACAACCATACAGTTATAGAACATGTGATTCCCGCACTGCTAGCTGTAGATCAAATGACCGGGATTACACGACCCTCAGCCATATGACCCACTCCCAGGGCAGCCTGAGTAGGGGGTGCAGATCTGTAGCTAACACTGGTTCTTCATGCAATGGGGACTCTACTACAGAGGATAATTCTAGACCAAATAATTATTCCATTAAAGATATCATTGCAGAACTTTATAATCTAATGCCCGCCTTAAAACCAGATAACAAGGACAAAACGCCCGTTAAACCCTTGTTAGAACATGCTGGGTATGAAGAACCTGTCAGTATGACTGAAGAATTCCATACCCTTCCCTGTCCGTCATATATTGATGACGTCATCAAGAAAATTGAAGATTCATTGAATGCTTCATCGGCACATAATGTTAGACTGGGTATGCCTGCCTTTAATAAGAGTGCTTACAGGACACACGATGCCCCCTTCGCACAACAGCCGAGCATTGATGAAGATTTCTATGATCTGGTTAAGAAACCTTACACCAAAATGCGCGTTGACATGGCCAAAATCAAGGACCTAGATTACATCAACAAACAGATGATTAATATCAGTTCATACATTAACTGGTTTGCAGCTGGAGTTTGCCAAGTCATACCCCCGAACAACCAGAGCGAAGGTCTACCCTTAGACACCCCGACGGAGATGACACTACAGCAGACCGGATTCATCCACAGCTCACTGGACCACATACTGAAGATGCAGGAAGATCTTCAATCAGCACAAGTCTGGATGTCAGCACAGTTCCTGCTCATGCAAAGAAAACATCTACTACAGCAAGTTCATCATATGATCCCAGAACCATTAAGAAGTTTCATGCTGTCATAGCCTATTACAGTGACGCAGATATTCAACGGAAGACTGAAGTCAGTGAAGGAAGCCATTGCATCGTCAACTAGCCAGAAGTTTCAAGAAACCACCATCCCGTTGGCAACCAGGATACAGAGACGGCCTTCATATTTTGAACTGAACGATTTAGAACTACAGAAGATCAAAGATACAACCACCTCGAATCTAGTCGAACTAGCCGGTCTCACAGACATCAACCAAAGACTACCCAAGTTCAGCATTCATCCTATCCCGGGACCAGTCAGAGGTCGTCTTATGCAGTACGCAGACAACTGGAAGACCATCACAGACGACTCATGGCTGCTCGAAGTAGTAAGAAAAGGATACAAACTTCACTTCTCAAAACGACCAAGACTAGTCATCCACCCTACCGGACCCCGATTCCAGCTATGAGGACCGAAGTTAATTGCAGCAGAAGTGGCCATACAAAAATCAGCATCTTAAAAGAGTCAGACACCACTCACGGATTCTACTCCCCAGTACTCCTGGTAGAATTCTTCAGAGATGCGATTGATCATAGACCTAAAAGTCCTGAACAAGAATTATCTGGAAAAACCACCCAGTTTTCAGATGGAATCTATAAAGAAGTTGAAGAACGCCTTAAGACAAGCAGATTGGATGATAAGCATAGACCTCCAAGACGTCATCACGTCCCTATCCATCCAAGTCATTGTCGGTACCTAGGCTTTGCAGTCAACGGTCAGAGATACCAGTTCAGGGTACTACCATTCGGCATATCCATCGCCCCATGGTTATTCACCAGGATCACCAATCCCGTCATCGGATTCGCCCATATAAAGTTCATAAGGCTACAGGGATACATAGACGATTTCCTATCGGCCGATCAGGACAAATCACAAATCAGATTAAATACAGTGTGCCTCATCCAACTACTAACACACCTAGGATTCCTGGTTCACCCTAAAAAATCAGAGCTAGTACCCACACTGGACATCACCTACATAGGCGCAAGATTTCTACTCAACAAGGGCATAGTAACACCTCCAGAGGACAGATATGCAAGAGTAGAACACATGATAACAAGCACACTCGATCAGCCCATCAAATCGAGACGCTGGTGGATGTCTTGCCTCGGCACGCTCACATCTATCCAAGACCTAACCTACAGAGGCAGACTACAATTACGGCCCCTGCAGAATTGGATGAATACCACAAAAAATCTAGAGCTGGAAGCCTTAATCCAACCTCCAAAAGTTCGAATCTTAGAACTTCATTGGTGGCTGACTCGTCAAAATGTCATGCCAGGTATTCCACTCGCATACCCCACCCCCCTACATCAACTCTACACAGATGCATCAGGAGAGGGTTGGGGTGCCCATATGGACGATGTTACCATACACGGAAAATGGTCCTCCCAAGAAAAGGAGTTACACATCAATTGTCTAGAAATGAGAGCGATATATCTAGCCTTAGAAGCATGGCAAGATCGTCTACACCACTCGTCAGTGAAGATCGTTACAGACAACTCGACCGTGGTCGCTTACATACAGCACCAAGGGGGCACAAAGTCTCAGCCTTTATTGAAGGAGGTTACACGTTTATATGCCTTGGTAGACTCAGTGAGTTGCAGAATCGAAACAAGACATATAACGGGCAAGCTAAATATCCTAGCAGATGACCAACCCGGAAAAACAAGATAGTACCCACGGAATGGTCACTACATCCCGAAGTATTCAAGTTGAAAACCCACCTATGGGATACTCCAAACCTTGATCTATTCGCCACATGTCTCAACAACAAACTACCAGTCTACGTCAGCCCTGTACCAGACCCGCTTGATCTCCAGGGCGACGCTCTCTCTATGGAATGGAATCTTTGCGTACGCATTCCCCCCATGGGCTCTTCTAGACAGAGTACTGAAGAAAATAGAGGAGACAGACTGTGTCATAATTCTCATAGCCCCGGCATGGCCAAACAGGGCTTGGTTTCCAAGGTTACTACACCTCCTAGTGGAAGAACCTCTGAAACTCCCATTACGTCACGACCTACTGAGACAACCGAAAACGGACATATTTTACGTCCGCCTCGACAATCTCCACCTTCACGCTTGGAAGTTATCTCGAATAAGATGCAAGCCGCGGGTTACTCTAAATCAGCTGCACGAAGAGTGGCAAGCTCATGGAGACCAGCATCATCTGCCCTA